ATATTTTCAGTTGTGGTTTATGGAGAAACTGATTTCAGACGTTTGAAATGTTTCTTTGCTTCTTGTGACTTCTGACATGAATGAATATGATTAAATGGAGTTTGACACCGGAGCACAGGAAGTTTAAATGTGTTGATGAATCAGTGAAATCGAACAGAGAATAAACTGCTGAACTGGAATCATCATCCTTTATGATCCGAGGAGGTTCTTGGTAGAAATAACTTTATTTGTATTACTCACTTCTTTCACCTGATCTTTTCCTTCACTACATCAACGATGAATAATCACTCGTTAAAACTCAAGTTGCACCAAAGCACCAAAACAGCCCAGTTCTATAAATAGAAACATTGAATTCCCTTGTTTGTCTTCAGATTAAATATTAAATTAGTTTATTAAAACTAAACACACAAGAAATATTCCAAACGATAATATATCAGATTTCACGTAGGGAGGTCACATGGTTCAAGAAATACTTCCCTGATGATGCTGATGTCATCTTTTTAAGGATGTGTGTTGCTCACAGGCTCCTATTACCCATAATCCTGTTCTTTCTCCTGTTGATGGAGGCATTTTGTCCATGAAGCATGAATCAAACCTCAGTCGTGCTTCAAGTTTCAGCTTCAGATTAAAGATTGAATTCAGTAGATAAATTATTTAAAGGAAATAATCTGCTCGTGTTCAGGCTGATGATTGTAAATCAGTGTTGACATGTTCTCATGTTCAGAAACACTGGCGGGGGCGTGTGGACGAGACGCCACATGTGCATGATAACACGTCCGGTGTCTCGTCTGCTCAGATGTTCCTGCTCTCCTCACAATTTGGTGACTTCACAATGATAAGAGAGAATCAGCTTCATGTTTTCTGTGCTGGAGAGAAGCTCAGACTTCAGAACTCTCACAGTCATTTAAAAACCTTTGTAACAAACCAGAGGAAATCAACTGTACCGACATCGAACGTCTCGTTAAGTTGATTAACGGAGAACAAGCAGCTTCCTCACAGGCAAAGTCAAACAATCAACTCATGTATTGAACCGACATCACGACGTGTTTTCTGTGTTGACCGTGTGAAAAAGGAAAGTAAAACCTAAATGAACTGAACGAAATTCTATGTTTTGTAGAGCCGAGTTCAGACGAGGAAGACGAGGATGTGAACAGCGAGGAAACGGAGAGCGTTGATGAAGAGGAGGCCAAACTGAGGCTCCAGTCGCTGAGTAACACCAAGGTAAAAAAAAAACATCATCAGTTAACTGATTCAAACTGATCAGAAACACAAACACTTGAACAACAACTTCCTCAAATGACCAGAAACATTTAACATACTTTTGTTTTTTCCAACTTTGGTCCATGTCCCAACTGCTGACATGGAGGAGGCAGGGCTTCTGACCTATAATGCATCCAGCCACCAGGGGGATCCATGTGATCTGGCTTCACTTAGTGTCATGGCGTCCTTCTCTGTTGACAGTGTTTCCTGTCTGACCAGGTCTGTGCAGGTCCAGTGAAGGAGGGTCAGGGTCTGATGGAGGTCAAACAGCTGGTGGAGCAGAAGAGGGCGGTGGAGAGGGAGCTGACGGAGCTGAAGGCTCAGCTGGAGAAGAGCGGCTTCTCCTCGCTCTCACAGATGAGGTAGAAAATACACTTATTATACTTTTGTAGATTCAGACTCCAGGACGACCTGATGAGTAAAAGTCAAATGTCAGTTCATTGTAAACGTCTGTTGGTTATTTCACATCTTTACGTTTGTTATTTCATCCTCTCAGTTTATTTAATGTTAGTATAAAATACCTTCAGTCTCATTTCTGATCATCCGCATGTTAAACTTGAACTAAGACGGAGGAGACGAAGTTAACTCTCCATCTTTCTCTTAAAGGAAAGCTCTGCTCAGCCTCCAGGCAGAGAACCAAGACTTAAATCATCGGCTGCAGGCGGACGGTCAACACGACCAGGAGGAGGAGGAGGAGGAGGAGGAGGAGCTGGATGTGACCATAGGAGAGGAGGAGGAAGAGGAGGGCTCAGAGACGTGGGAAGCCTGGGACAGTGAGTTGTCTCTGTCTCAAACTGACGTCCAGACCAGGGATGAGCTGAGGACGGACGGAGACTCTGGATCAAATCCTCCGCACCAACTCAGCTCCTTCTCTCAGGTAAGAACCAACATGTGGCTCTGTTGATAAATCCAATCTTTAAATTCCCCCAAAATATAATAAAACTTAAAAAATATAAATCCCCATCCATCACAAACACTGAACAGTGTGTCCAGGCAGATGAGCTGCGTCCCAGCATGCACCTGGGCGGTGCTGCAGCCTCTGAGAGGACGGAGCGGACGGTTCTCCTGCAGCAGAGGAGCAAAGAGCTGAGGGAGCGGCTGATGGTGTCTGAGGCGACGGTGCAGGCTCAGGCCGAGCAGCTCAAAGACTTCAGGGAGCTGCTGAGTGAGTCCAGCTTCTGACGAGTGACTGTGTCTGAGAGACGAACATCAGTTATATGAAGTGTCTCCTGTGTCTCTGCAGCGGAGACGACGGTGCAGCAGGACAGTAAACAGATCCAGGTGGACCTGCAGGATCTGGGCTACGAGACGTGCGGCCGCAGCGAGAACGAGGCCGAGAGAGAAGACACCAGCAGCCCCGGTATTCAAGCCTCATACTGAGCATGTCCGTCCTCTGAGGACTCTAATAGAATATATATATATATATATATATATATATATATATATATATATGTAGTGAAAACAGAACCTCATTGGTGGAGGTCACATTATCTTTGTTGTAATAATGTCATAGAAACACTAGAGGCCAGCAAACCACACCTCTAACAACTCAGCAGTGTTCGTCCTCCACCAACATTTAAATTCACTAGATCCAGATTTTTGTTTGGCTCTGCAGCACATTTAGTTTCTCTGCGGTGAAGCTGAAGAGTTTGTGTGTGAGTGTAGAAAACCAGGATGACGTTTAGAGTCAAATCAGAGAAGGTTCTTTTGACGCAGCTCGTACGAGATACGATGTTGGAATAATCAGAATGATGAATTCACGTGAACTCAGCTCAGAACAATAACTTGGAAATGTTGGCACACGAATAAATATATATACAACAGAAGTTTACAGCGTCCGAACATTCTGACTTCACACAGACGTCCCATCAGGGAACAGCCTGATTAACCTCCTGTGACCCGACCACACAAAATGATCGACTTCCTGTGTTCCCCCTCAGAGTTCGATGACCTGGAGATGTGCACGTCTCTGGACTGTGGCTCCCAGTGGTGGCCCGCCGGCAGCAACGGCTCCACCTTCACCAAGACCACCACCCAGAGCTCCGGCTACGGAGACGAGGTGTCGTCCCTCCAGCGCCTGGTGGAGGACCTTCGCTCTCAGCTGTCCCGCTCTCAGGCGGTGATCCGCGGCCTCCAGAACCGCCTGCGCTCCCTCTCCACCTCCGGCGACGACCCACCCTCCACACCTCGCAAGGTCAACTGGTGCTTCCAGGCCTCGCCCTCACAGAGCGGCACGGAGGACGACGAGGGCTGGCAGTCGTCCGACGGGGGTCCGCTGGCTTCGCCTCGTCAGCCTCACCCAGACAAGGGTCTCCAGGAGCTGGAGTCCAGAGTGGACGCTCTGGAGAACCAGCTGAGGAAAGGAGGCAAGAAGTCCATCGAGCAGGATGGAAAATCTGCCACGTGGCCGGGGTGAGTGACACACAGCTTCTCTCTTTCTATGCTCTTATTTGTTCAGAAGGTTGTGACACATTATCCTTCATCCTTTTATTAAGACACAAATCAATAATATAATATAATCTTTAATAAGAGCAGATGAACTGAATTAGTTCATATAATCACTCAAACAGAATCAGAGGATTCTTTTATTTCCCTCAGACCATTAACAGGAGGGATTGTTCCTCTTGAGTGCTTTTAATGTGAAATATCTGCAGGAAGTGCTTAAAAATAATCTGCTGTGATAAAATACAGCGGAAGAGGAAGTGATCAGAAAGTGTTTCTGTTCTGCAGTTTAATCTGAATTTTAAAAAATAAAATGCAAACAGGGAAACGTTTGAATAAAACATGATAGAATTTAACGTCTACCTTGATTTTTTATTTTAGTCCATGTCCCATCTGCTAACATGGAGGAGGAGAGGTTTATGACCTTTACTGTTTTGGCTTCACTTTTGTGAGCTCTGATGTCGTCCATCTTAATTTACAGTGATTTCTTAAGATTTAAAACAGTAAATTTAAAACTATCATCGAACTAAACCAGACAGAGGAAAACATTATTTATCTTTTTTTAAACTTACAACGTAGATTTCGAATGAGTCCGTTTATTTTGCAGACTGTTGCAGGGTGAAGACGTTTTATTTTGACATGGTACATGAAATCACTGCTGCTAACTGTCGGAATTTTCTGCGTCTGCAGTAAGTTCGACACTCTGATCCAGGCTCAGGCCAGAGAGCTGTCTCACCTCCGTCAGCGGCTGAGGGAGGGTCGTGGCGTCTGCAACATCCTGACGCAGCATCTGGGCGACACCACCAAGGCCTTCGAGGAGCTGCTGAGAGCCACCGACATCGACTACTACATGGGCCAGAGCTTCAGGGAGCAGCTGGCTCAGAGCAGCGCTCTGGCACAAAGAGTCGGAGACAAGATCAGCGGACGTGAGTCATTTCATTTATTGCATCTTTCACTGTTGACGGTTCTTTTATATAAACACTAATGATTTCATAACCTCAGGAGATCATCCTGAAGACCCAGATGAGAAGACGGAGCTGCTCGCCATCCGGTCAGTGCTCATGTTCTTCATCTTTACCTCATGTGTACTTCATCTTTACCTCATGTGTACCTCATGTGTACCTCATGTGTACCTCATGTGTACTTCGTGTGTACTTCATGTTTGTGTGTCTGTGATTGTGTTGCTTTACACCAGTGTTGATGCCGGTTAATGGAAAGTATCGGCGTGTGACGCTGATGTTTGTTCCTCGGGGCAGAATAATCAGATGCTGGCTCGATAATGATTGAAGACCTCACTGGTTAATTAATGACAAGAGCTGATTCTAATTATTATATCCTAATTAATGAGGGCGGACAAGGGCGGGTGGGCTGGATGGACACGTAACGACCTGCAGGACGAGTAACGAGTTACAGACAGACAGAGAGAGAGAGAGACAGAGACAGAGAGAGACAGAGAGAGACAGAGAGAGAGAGAGAGGCCTGCAGTAATCTAACATCATGTTGAAGCACAGATGGTCGAGCAGATGTGAAGGAGAATTATCGTGTTTTCTGCGACAGTCATTTGATTTAGTCTGATTCACAGTTTTCATCATCGAAGGCAGAAACATCCTGATACAGACTGAACATGAATCACGATCACAACCGACAGAACAGACAAGATCAATGTACCAGGAAATAAAGTCAAAGTCAGATCTAAAAAAAGATTAAACATATTGAATTAATTGAACAAATTGAATACAACTCTAGTTTTATTGATGCTTCTATGTGTGTGTATGAATTATATATATAATTATATCTAAATATAAAACATAAGATGTATTTTTTAACAAATACACCCAAATATATAGAATATATAATGAAAAATAAATATAATTATTAAAGTCGAATTTAAGCATTAATGCATTAATCGTTTATTCTGTAAACTAAAATAAAAAAGTTTTCATAACATGAACACAGACACACGTGAATCTCCTGAATGAACTAATGAATCGATCGACTGTGATGAGTGTGCGTCTGTGAGTGTGACTGTTCTGATGTCATAATGCTGCCGAGGCTTTCACTGGGCTCGGGCTCCTAATCAGGTTAAGTTATTAAGACCTCGGCTGGGGAGGAAATAGGTCAGAGRGAGGGGGGKGAAGCAGAGAGRGAGGGAGCATCAGTTCTCTTCAGCAGCAGCAGCAGCAGCTCTCGTCTCTCTGCTGTAAACTCTGATCGTCTTCACTGTGGACGGACGATGATGTTCAGTCTTCTTCTTCTCTTCCACTGAACCAGTTCCTGGATTCTCCTCAAACTGAGGCTGGATGTGAAGTTTTCTTCTTCTGAGGATCTTCTCTCCCTCTCTCCCTCTCTCCCTCCCTCTCTCTCCCTCTCCCTCTCTCTCTCTCTGTGTGTCGGACACATTCTGACACCTCCAGCTCTGCAGCAGCAGCAGAAGCTCACGTTTGGTTTCATGGATTCAGTCGACGTGTGTTTGAAAACAGGAGGAAGTGCTGCTTTGCGGATCCTCGTCCGTTCAGCTGCTGTTCATCTCTTTCGCTGACGCTTGGTGGAGCGTTAACACTCGAGCCCTCGGGACCCGGACATCCTTTAACACGTACATCCCTCTCTCCGCCCTCCTCCCTCTTTGTGATGCTCTGTCGTCACCACAGTTCCCCTCAGGTCTGACGCTGGAGGTTTTCCCATCGAGGCTTCGTTACAAAAGAGACGAGTAGAGAGGTTTTAAAAAGGACGTTCCATCATCACAAACAAAGAGTAGAGGAGAAGAGGACGCAGAGTTCAGCTCTGAGTTTCCTCGGGCTGCTGAGTAATGTAAATCTCATCATGCGCTGGTGGAGCGAAATCTACAAACTGTGCTTTTATTTGAGCTGCACTTCGGATAAGATGCTCTGGATCTCTGCCGTCAAACCATCTGACTGATCTGTTGTGGTGGAATCTCAAACGTGGGGATGCAAGTGAACGCATGAATCCTTTAAATCTGCTGCGAGACATTAAAGACAATAATAATTTATATTTTATTATAATATAAGAATCTGATTTGGGATCTGTGTACAGACCTCACGGGTCCCCAGCGTCCAACATCCATCTCTGTGGGAACGCCGGACCTAATCTGGATTTACCTTTCACCTGATCGTCCACTTGCTCAGTCATCCCTTTATCCGTCTCACACACACACACACACACACACACACACACACACACACACACACACACACACACACACACACACACACACACACACACACACACACACA